CCCGCATCGCTGGGGGGTGCCACAGCCCCTCCCGGCAGCAGATCCCTCGCTTGCCAGTGGTAGGGAGAGGAGACCATTGTGGGAAAACAGACTTTTGTCTGTCACGAGTGGCCGAAGTTGTCCCTCTCCAATCATCCATCCCCCTTTCTCTCAGCTGGGAAACGCTTTATCTCATTGTCATCAGCAGTAATAGAAACAAAGAAGATCCCCTGTTTCTTCAGCTCTTTTTTTTTCCTCGGGGTTTTTTTTCTTTCCTCCCCCTCATGGCTCAGAGCTGTAAAGAAGAAACACCCACGTATGTTCTTCCTCGCTTACATGGATCTGAAGACTTTACATCTCTAGCTCCATTTCCTAACCTGGGATGGATGTTCATGTCCAGATCATCACGATACGGATTTTATTTGAAGACGGAACAAAATGCAGGACGTTGAGCACCGAGAGCTTAAAAAAAAATAATTGTGTAACTTCAAAGAGTTGGCAGTTGGGGTGTGTGTGGGATGTCGGAGTGCGGTGCCCCCTAAACCTCAGTGGCAAGGCTGTGCTTGGTGGACGCTCAGCTCTGACTCCTTGTTCCCTCTCGCTGTAGGAAGTTGCTGTAAAGTTGGAGTCTCAGAAGGCTCGACATCCCCAGCTGCTGTATGAAAGCAAACTGTACAAGATCCTGCAGGGAGGAGTGGGCATCCCGCATATACGGTAGGAATAACTGATGTACGCCAGTGTAGCGACTTTAGTGGTGGTGTGAGGCGGGACACTGCCGTTAAAGAGATTTATCTGGTGGGGGATTGGGCTGTTAGGGGAAAAGAGCTCCCTTCCAAGCTCTGTAACTAGTTGGATATCCTCCCCACCGGCCTTCCCTTATCCATACATACTGTGCTTCTAGCTCTTCAGCAGCTCCGGAGCTGGGAGAAATCCTCGTCGGGATTAGAACGGAGTGTGAGGGTGTTTGGTGAGGGCCAGTGCTCTCGGTGAGGTTGAGAGTTCGGAGCCGGCACTGGAAATGGCTGCTTTCTTTTGTTTCTCTCTCTCTCTTTTTTTTTTTTTTTTTTTTTTGTTCCAACATGTCTTCCTCCTCCGCTCAGAAAATGGCGGATGGACGTGGTTAACCCTCCCCCTCCTCGTGTTGGGACAAGGGACGTGCTCGGGCATGTATCTTTTCCTTTCATAGTTATGTGCTGCGAGGCTGGAGGCTGCGGAGAGCCTCAGCTGGGAATGAAATGGCAGCCCCTTTCTGTTACCCGCAGCCCACGCGTCACTAGGATTTCCGTAGGGTTACGGTGCCAGGATAATCCCTCCCAGTCGCTCGTTACGCCGCTTGTTTCATGATCTGAAACTTTCTGTAGTGTTCAGTAATTTCCTGATCTGGAAGACAGTCACTGGTGCAGCAGGCTCAAGGAGGAGTTACTTCTCCTGGGATCACTGGGGTGTTACACTGGGTTAGTTCCCAACTCCTTAGCCTGTCCCGCAGGATAGGTGGAGAGAAACTTCACTTTTCTCCAGAAACATGTTGTACCAGAAGTTGTTCTTTCTTAAAGCTTTGCTGTTCTTAGAGTTACTACTGCGTGTGTTCGCGCTGCGACATAAACGAATTCCGTTCCTTGCGCTGCAGAAAGGATTTCAGTTTAAATGTTGGGTCTGACTGTGGGATCCATTTAATCTGTTAACCCTTCCCTGCCTTCGTGTGCACACCTGTATCAGTAATGGCCTGTAGGGTCATCATGAGGGCATTCTAGGCCATACATTAATTTTAACAAGAACTCAACCAAGTCTGTATTTCTCAGGTTAATGGCTCCCCTCCTCCCTCTTTCCCCTCCCAAACACAACTGGCTGTAGTCCCGCACGTAAGCTGGAGCGGAGGAGACGGCGTTGGCTTGGCCATCTGTCCTCATTCACCACAGCCTTTTGCAGGAAGGGAATAAGCACGCTTGAATTAAGCAGGACACTTACAGCATAAACAGTTGCTTATGTGAAAACAGATTTAGTCTTTATTTTAAACTCGTGTTCTTCAAACGAGTGCCTTTCTTTCACAACCGACCAGGAATTGTGCCTCGGGAAGGTGTCACGGTATGGTTACATGCTGAAACAGGGATAACTGGGAAAACAGCCAAAGCAAGAGGCTATCAGGTGCCTCATCACCCAACTGGAAAAGCAGGCGTTCTTAGACTATGCTTTTTTAAAATGTAGCACTTGGTACTGATGAAAGGCCCAACTTGCAAACATGTAGCAGAAGTGAGCTGCTGTTCAAAAAGAAGTTGTGGGTTTTGGTTAAAATGCCCTGTGAGCATTTCACTGAGCGCTGGAATACTGGAGGTGACTTTACACACTGAGAAACTTGGTTGTAGCTTCAGTTAGAGCAGTCATCCCTCTCTGCTGGGTATTCTTGTAGCTGACTTGTCCTTTATGGCCAGCGACTGCAGTTTAGAAGTCTCGCCACCGCAGCGAAACCGTAACCTTTGTTAGCGTGCTTCCTTCCTCCCCCCCTCGCCCCCCAGATGATACGGTGTTGGAAGAACCTGGCTAAGAATGGACAGCTGAGGTTGATTGACAGGCTTGTGCTAAAGGTGTGTGATGTCAGTGAGCCTGGTCGTTTTTCACTTTCAGGGTCTTTGTAGGAAGTGTCTTTTGGATTTTTTCTGGAAAAAAACTTTGTTTTCAGAAATGGCATTACTTTTAAATATTAGTATGTACCGGATACATATTTGACAGGTCCTTTGACTAGGCTTCTGTTACCATTTGCTGTCTTGCTGTGTGACATCTGGTGATGCTTGAAGAAAGTGAAGATAGTGTTTTTGTTTTCCTGACTTACTTTTAAGAAGAAGCTGAGCGTGGTACCCAGCACAGCTTTTGGAACAAATGTTAAAACATGGTGTGTTTCGGTAAAGTAGAATCCCTGTTACTCTGAATCCAAGGGGGAGGACGTGCCCTACCAAAGGAGATGTGTCACTGCGGTGCTTCACCAGGATGTGTCTTTGCGTAGGTGATTACAGAGGCTAAGACCGAAGTGAAATCACCGTGCATATTGTTTCAGGCAATTCAAGCTTATCTGACATGAATTTTTGGCAGCAGCTAGGCTGGGGGGGGGATGTGTGACTTTGTACTTAGGTCACTTTGCATGTGTAATTGATAATACACGCTCCGCCATTGTTTTATAATGGTATGCTGTCAGGTGGGAATAAGCTGTTCTTGGCTCAGTGTGTTTAGAAGGATGAATCAAGTTGAAGGAAAACTTCAATACATTTGTTAAAATTTCTGTAATTAGACACCTTTAAAAAACAACGGCACAAACAGAGCGTTTGATGGAAAGCGAAGGAGTCATTCTAAACTTTTCCCATTGCCAGGCTGAGCTCAGCAGCGTTTTTGAGTGCTCCACATCTGGGAAACAGGCACATAGTCTTAAAGTCCTCATTTAAGAATTAGGGACTTATTCTCTCTTTTTCATCTACTTAAGCAATGCAGTGGCCAAGATCAGCTTACCAGAAGTCCTGTCGTGTGGCTTTGCCTTACTGAAGTGGTCTGCTGTGGCTCTCTGACTCAGAGCTGCAGTAATGGGCGAGGTGTGGATTGCTCAGTCCTCTGGGGCACCTGTTCTTAAAACTGAATTCTGCCCTTTGACGGGATTGAGAACTTAGTCATAAGGAAGCATAGCTGGAGTGTCACCTGAACTATATAGAACCAAGCTTTTTTTTTTTTTTAACAGCCTTTGAGTTGATTTGATGGCCTTTCTGGCTGACTGCAAGAAAACTAGTGAGCAAAGTCTCAGTTTTGGAGTTGGTGTTTTGATATTGTTTTGGGGGGATGAGCTGTGAGCCTTCGCTTGCCGCGGGAGGGTGAACAGGGGGAACACCACGTTGTTTGCACATGAAATTGCAAAAAATGAGTTTGGAGTATCTTTATTCTCTGAATACTCTAACCCCTTTTAGACTTGCAAACCTTTTGATTTCCTGCTTACTGTTGTTTCCTGGAAGAGTAGCAAAGTTTCACAAATCCTTACGTAAATACTCTACAGACTTTTAAGCTGTGGCATGTTTTAGATGCACAAACTTTGGTTAACCGTTACCTTCATTTTTCACAAAAGGCTCTTGAACCAAGCTTAACGTTCTGACAATCTGATCTGCCTTTAGGACACAGTGCAGAGTCCGCAGTATTCTGCTGGGCTTACTCTCATTGTTCTCAGCCATCAGCTGTCTTTTTCTTTTTTCCTCTCTTTTTCAGTAGCAAAGCATTTTTAGCTGTAATCTTGTTAACTGGGCACTGATCCTATTAGTTTGGACTATCTACCTTTATTCCCAAATTCTGGGCTCTGGCCTGGAGGAATGCAGCAGAGTGTGTTTGGTGGTTTTGTTCACAGTGTAACTGTTAAAGCACTCTTGACAAAAGGGATTGTTTGAATTATCTGTGACAGCCACTCTTTGATTTTTGCCATTTATGGTGTTCATCAACTATTGTTTATATCCTTCACGAAGATTACCTTTAGGTGCTTTTTCAGACTTCTGAAAGAAAAGTGGGCTCCAGATTTTTCTCCTGACAATACCATGGGATCGCTTGGCTTTGTTACCATCAGTTTCCAATGGAAAACAGCTATGGCTAAAACCAGCTTTGGCTGTTGGTGATGTAGAAATGTTGCACTTCAGAGGAGGGAGATACTGTGCGTGTTCTGTGGGCAGGGATGAAGAGGTACTGTACAGCGTGTGAGGCTAAGCAAGGTGATTCTGAAGTTTATTCATTTGTAAGTTTGAACAGCAAAAGCTACTGACATAGACACTTTTTTTACGTTCTCTTGCAAACTGAACAAGCAAAGTCCTTACTTTTCTGTAAGGTCTTGCAAAATATTTTGCTGTTGAGAAACTCAGTATTGCCACCCATGTATCACTGCAATCTTGTAAACAGTGAAGCATGTTGTAAAGTTTCTGGCAAAAAATAAAAAGACACAGCTATAAAAGCACCTACCGGTTTTGTCCTCTGGTTGCTTACTGCCATGTTGTTGGATAATCTGTTAATAACAGACTCTGCCCATACTTATCTTTGCTGAGCAATACATGTAATGGAAAAATGTGGTCGAGTTTGGTAACGAGGGTTGTTCTCAAAATCAATTTTTCCTTGAGCAATTTGGGTCTCTTTAAGCAGTGCTTAAAAATTCATAAATGCACCTCTCAAACACCTTTACTTTAAACTGTTTTCCCAATAACTTCCTACAGCATAAAAAAGTCTCTCAAGACACGCAAACTCCACTAGAAGAAAATACCAAACCCACAGACAAAAACCAACACCACTAGTGCTTCCCCCCCCCAAAAAAGGCAAACAAAAAAGCCCCCTCCAAAACTCAGATAAAGTCTGAAAGGTTTTGTTTTCATTGGTAAGGCTGATTTCATGTAGGTCTGCAGATAATGAGGAGGAAGGTTCTAGCAATAGTTCCTCCTACTAATTAACCTTCTCATTACTTAAGGCTGCATACTAAAGGGCAGAACCACTCGAGTAGATAAGGGGAAGCCTCTTGTTTTGTGGCTCAGAGTAAAGCTGTGAGCTAGTCTTCTAATACCTGCAGTGAGGGAACGAACACCTTTAAACAAAATCTGTTTCATGTTTTACAGCAGTCTAAACTTCTGTCTTAATTGGTCTTCATGGACTCCTTAGAAGCGTCCAGGAGAGGCCACACTTGGTAAACACATGAGGCTGTACTGTTTTCCTTTTTTTCTCTC